GTGTCCCTTTGATAACTTTCTGATACTTGGCATTTATAAAGTAGACCTTGAATTTTGATACCACAAATCCTATTTAATGATTCCTTTTCTTACTAACAAAGTAAGGTAGCCTAAGAAATTTGTAGAGATGCACTGTTCCACTAATATCATAATCTAAAAAATAAGATAAAATGATCAGAGCAAATTGAGCAAGAACCAGCCCAGTTATTTCTCTTTAAAATAAGGGGGAAAAATTAGTTCCTAAATAATGTGTCCTTAGGGTTATGACTCAGGATTGAATCTTGGAAGGAAATACCAAGATGTGGTTTGAAACCTATTCAGAAAATAAATAAATATTTTTCTATGTAATGGAAGAAAGTAATTATAAAAAAAAAAAGAAAGAAAGAATTATGTAAATGACATCAAGCCATCATCAGAAATGGAGATTATTCGCCCTGGCCAGTTTGCTTAGCAGTTAGAGGGTCGCCCTGTGGACTGAAGGGTCCCAGGTTGGATTTTGGCCAAGGGCATGTACCTCAGTTGCAGACTTGTCCCTGGCCCTGGTCGGGGCGCGTGCAAGAGGCAACCAACCTATGTGTCTCTCTCACATCAGTGTTTCTCGTCTCTCCCTCCCTCCCACTCTCTCTGAAAAGCAATGAAAAAAATATCCTTGGGAGAAGATTAAAAAAAAAAAAAAAAAGAAATGGAGATTTTTCATATCAAAAATCCTGAATAAGACACTATTTTACTTGTTTCACATTCCCATACTTCATCTCATTCCCGTTTACCCCATCTATAATTGCTAGTTTAACTGAATCAATCTTGATTCTACATTCATCCTCTCATAAATGACACATTTTAGACTGTATCAAATTGAGAGGTTTATGCATCTATTAATAACACTCAGTCCCCTTACTAACTTAAGTTCAAATTGCTTAGTCTAGAATTCACAGCCCTTCATGCTCAAGACTTTGCCTGGCTTTCCATTCTTATCATTAACTGTTTCCTTAAATTTGCTTGCAATCCGATCAAACACACAAGCCATTCCTTGGTTTTTGTTTGTTTTTTAACCTCTACACCATTGTTCATGCACTTTGTTTTCTACCTGGAATAAACTTCCACTCCTCTCCCACTGTCTACCCTATAGATTGAGATAAAATAGCACCTTCTTTGCATGATTTGCTTTAGTTTCTCAATTGGGTATGAATAATTAGTTTGTACCACCCTCATTAAATGTATCATTTACATCTATAAATGACATAAGTTATCTTTCAAATTCGAGAACTTTTAATATACTTATTGACATCTTCTGCAGTGGAACAGAGCACCTCACATAATAGAGTGTTCAGTAAAAACGTGTAAGAGAGTAAATAAATGAGTAAACGTATAGTCCATGATCTTGTATTTATACTACCTATTATTCATGAAGGATCTCCTCATGCCTTTCATGCTAATTTTAAATTTATCATAGAAATAAATTCTTTTCAAAGACTCTAAAAAATTCATTTTCCAGTAATATGATACACTTGACACTGTGACCAACCCTCTCACTGACAAATAATTAAAATAATAAAAAAATGTATTTTTAAACACACCAATGTGTTAGCAAGAAGGTAAGTACCCTCGAAAGCCACAGGGATCCAGGGAGGTAAGCTGGGCTTCGAATCTGGCTTTCACTTGAAGGACGTTTACCCACAAAGGTGAACCAGAGCCTCTGTATTCACAGGCTACAGGAGATAAATCCTGGGGGGCACCTGACCAAGGTGAGGAATCTAATAGGAGATGCTTCAATAAATCAGGCACCCCAAAGTCCTAACCCGCAAGGTATATGTGAATAAGAAATAAATCCAGGGGACAGCAAGGAAAATTGCTTATTATAAAATGTGGCATTGGGCAGAAGGAAATGCAAAATCACCCTTTGAAATTGATATCCGCAAGCTGACCCTCCCTGAGCTTGTAGCCCGATCTCGTGTCACCTGGGGATATCCAAAAAAAAACTCTCAGGCAATAACAATTTTAATTTAAAGTGTTTCTGTGTCGGTGGAGTTCCCCAATGTTTGGTAGAAGCAAATGCATATAGTCCCTGGAGGTGTAAATTGCCAATACAGGGCTTGAAAAATTTGAACAGATAAAAACTCCAGAAAATATGAACTTGTCGTTGAAACTCACAAAATGTATGAGAAAACAAGCCACCTAGAGTGAGAAGGAGTAGAAACAACAGACAGCAGAGTTTGATGCATAAAGACTTCAGATTTTGGAGTTAGAAAACAAAAAATAAATATTAAATATATAAATAAATTTTTAAAATTTAAAGGGCTTGAAAATAAGGGAATGTTTCAAAAAGACAAAACTGGTTTAGAGAGAGAGAGGAAGGTGGAGGGAGGAGGGGGAAGAGAGGAAGGGAGGGAAAGAGGAAGGAAGGAAGGAAGGAAAGAAGTAGAGGGAGGAACGAAGTAACTACATAGAACATTTAGAGATTAAAAATATAATAATTAGACTTAAAAACTCAGTAGAGCCCTGGCCAGTGCTGCTCAATGGTTAGAGTGTCAGCCGTCACACTGAAGGCCGTGGGTCTGATTCCCAGTCAAGGGCACATACCTGGGCTGCTGGTTGGATCCCAACCTGGGTAGGGGCCGGTGCAGAAGGCAACCAATCGGTGTGTCCCTCTCACATAAATCTTTCTCTTTCTCTCTCTCTCTTTCTCCCCCCCCCTCGATCCATCCCTTCCATTCTCTCTAGAAATCAGTGGAAAACATATCCTGGGGTGAAGATTAACAACAAAAAACCCAAGAGGTTTTTCTTTCCCATTCGCTTTCCCTTTCTCTTGGTTCAGACCAATGTTTCAGCCTTGATTTTTTTTTTTTAATTGGCAAAATTTCTTTACCTGATAAGCATATCTACAAAACAACTACCACTAAATATTGAAAAACATTCCTGTTGAGATCAGGCCAATTACCATAATGTCCATTTTCTATTTTTTAAATATATCTTTATTGATTTCAGAGAGAGGAATGGAGAGGGAGAGAGACAGAAACATCAATGATGAGAGTCATTGATCAGCTGCCTCCTGCACACCCCCGACTGGGGATCGAGCCCACAACCCGGGTATGTGCCCTGACCGGGAATCGAACCCCGATCATGTGGATTCTAGGTCGATGCTCAACCACTGAGCCACGCCCGGCCGGGCTCCACTTTTTTCAACTTTGTACTGGAGTCTCTTGCCAGTACCAAAAGTAAGTAAACAGTGGAAAGAATAGAAGGAAAGAAATTAAAATATCAATATTTTCAAGTTGTATACTGTGTTACAAAAATCCAACAGGACCTATAGATAATTTCTAGAATAAGAAAAGAATTTAGTAAATTTGCAGAGTACAAAATCAACATGTAAAAAGCTATTGCATTTTATATACCAGCACTACAGAGAGGGAAATTAATTTTTTAAAACTAAAATAAAAATATATGAAATACCCAGAAATAAATTTAATAAAAATATGTGAAACCATTACGGACAAAAATATAAAACTGTACTGAAATACACTAAAAAGAAGACCTAAATAATCAAGAACTATACCATGATTATGAACTGAAAGACTCAATGTCGTAAAGATTACAGTTCTTTATTGTTATGTAAATTCAATGCGGTGGCAATAAAAGTCCCATCAGGTGTGTTTATGTGCATGTTAATTAACATGTTGAATCTAAAATCAAATTTTAGGTTCAAGGGTCAAGATTGTGAAGACACTATTCTGTGGAATGAGAAGAAAAAGGTTTGGAGAACTTTCCCTACTATATATCGAGATTTATTATAAAGTTATAGAAATTACAATCAGGAGGTGTTGTCACAGATTGGCAATTAGAGACATTAAATAGACTAAAAAGCTTAGAAATGGACCCATGCATTTACCACTTAACATATGACCAAGATGGTCTTAAAAATTTGTGAGAGATAAATAAACTTTTCAATAGATGGTGATGGGACAACTGGGAAAAATATGACCCTGTATCCTTACCAGATGCCATAAACAACAATCAATTTCAATTTATTTAAATATTTATAAAATAATTAAAATGCTATATAAGAAACTATTTTCACGACCTTGCTGCACAGAAAATTTTCTTAAATAAAATGTGTAAAAATAAAGATAATGATTGATAGACTCAACTACATAAAAATTTAGAATTTCTGTTTCTCATAAGGTACTATAAAAGATTAAAAACAAACAAAAAGGTACAATATGGAAAAAAATATTCCTGGGAGAAGGATTTCTATCCAGAATATACAAAGAATTCCTATGAAATACTAAGATAGAGAAACCAACAAAGTTTATTAAAAACATCTCTCCAATATTTAACTTATCAACTATACACAAGTACTTCCTAAACCTCTACTTCAGTGTCCTATAGCCAGATCAGTTGTAATAAATTTAACGTTGAAATAATCTTGTTTTTCTGAAAAACAGAGTCATCGAAGATCAAAACCTGTAGTCACGCTTGCCACTTACCTTACCTTGCTTTCCATATTCAGTTATTCACTAAATAGATCCTCTGCAAGTTTTCTCACATTTTTGTCCTTTCCATTTCCATGTCACTTTTATAATTCAGAACTTCATTTTCTTAATATTGTGATAAACTCCTAACTGGCCTCCCTGCTTCAAAGTTCTCTTTTATACCCTTCCTGCTTCCTGCTTACCAGGTCTAGATTAATCTGCCTTGACCACACTTTATTTTTTAATAAAAACACATTTAATCATAACCATATAATAAGATGTTGAATCTGATCAAAGAATGGAGAGTGGCCTTTTGATTACACAAGTTACGAAATTTGATACATGACAGATGTCGGTAGCACCCCAACTTGGTGGAGAGTGTATGGACTCTAATTGGTTAACCATATGGAAAAATGTTATATTCCTAAAGCACACTATATATATTAAGAAAACCATGTACTTAAAAAAAAAGAAATACTTCTGAAGAAGGCATAAGAAACTATCTTTACAACCTTAGCGTAGAAAGGGTTTCTTAACTAAAACACAGTAAATACAAACTATTTAAGAAAAGATAATGCATTTGACTACATTAAAATTTAATTCTTGTGTTTATAAAACAAATCCATTTTTAAAATGAAATGATAAATCATAAACTGCAAGAAAAGATTTGCATCACAAACTACTGTCAAATAATTAGTATTCAAAAGATACATTTTTTAAAAAACCACTTTTCCAAATCAATGATAAAATGGTAAATAACCCAATGGAAAATGGGCAAAGGGCCTGGAAAGCAACAGAAGTGGAAACATAAATGATCAAAAAACATAAGAAACGATGTTTAATCTCATTAGTACTCAGGGATGTACAAATTAAAACTACACTGAGCTATCAGATTGGCAAGAGTTTAAAAATTACAATAACAAGTATAGGTGTGGTATGGAACAAATGAAAACTTTTACGTGGCTGTTGGGAGTATAAATTGGTACAGCATTCACTCTGGAAAAAAACATTATGACATTACCTAATAAAACTGATGCACTTACCCTATAACCTACCAATTATACTCCCAAGAATATGTCTCCTACAGAAACACTTGGAAATGTGCACCAAGATACTTGTAAAAGAATGCTCGCACCAGCATTTGTTTGTTACAGCAAAAATCAGGAAACAGCCCAAATGTCGGTCAACAATACAAAGGGTAAGCAAACCGTGGTATAAACGTAGAATGGAATTGCACATTCAACAGTAAAAATGAAAGAACATGGATGAATCTCAAGAATATAATATTAAACAGAAGAGCAGGTTATAAAAAATACATATAAAATTATTCCATTCATATAAAGAAGCACAACAGCATGTAATACCCTCATAAATTTTTTTGTTTATCAATATTGTTAGTTCTTCACAATCTTAAGGCAAGCAATCTATTTAGCTAGAAATTTGAAAATAATTTTAATACCTATGACTTTCCTGGGAGTCAACCAAAGAACTTTCATCAATCCTTTTTCAGAAGCTGATGAGACATAAATTAGAAAGGAAGAGAAAGCGAATGAGAGTATGAACACTAGAACCAGAGGTACACATATTTTTCTGTGATGCCAAAATCAATACCTTTCAGCATTTCAATATTTCACCTTTCTTCCTTTTGCCTCTTTTGCAGAGTTCAAGTAAGCAATCTTTTATTCTGGCTTACATGGCTTCATAAAATGCTCAAAATATCAACCAGAGACTACAGCAAGCAGTTATATTCATGTCAGCATTACAACATACGGCAACAGACCATACCCAAAGGCCAGATTTCTAGTTCTAGTTCCACAATTAGTTGGTCATGTGTCCATCAAGTCATTCAGTTTCACTGGGCTTCAGTTTTCTCTTTTGTTAAAGCAGGGATAACCATGCCTGCCTCAGAGCATCCTCATGAGAGTTAAAATAAACTTATTTTTAATGTGCTTCTGTGGTGCCCAACATGTAATTGACATTCAACAAATATCAGTTCTCTACTACCATCACTGTGCTATTTGATCACCTGAATCATTTAAAAGTAAAAATGGAGGTAGAAGGACAAAATTGAACCCCAGAAGGCAACTAGTTGCTTAATTTGCTTTCATTCCATAATTACAAGGTCACCAAGTCTGTTAAGAATATGTTTATAAGTCTGTTGCAATGAAAAGTAGGTAATGTTAATTCTAACTTATGTTTTATTTTCTTTAGCTAAATCACTATAGATCAATAATCACACCAGTTCATTCCCTCTCTTATTTTATATGACAGCCTTTGCCAGTTGATAACAATAATCATGTCCTGTCACTTGTTTCCTGTTTTTTTATATAGTTTTCTCATGACCCAGATCCCAAGTCCCAATCCCATCCTCTTTTAGGTTTCCACTCACCGCTTAACATGTAGTGTCTTTTTTAATGCTCATGGAAAGAATTAACCTATTACACCCAATTTCCTGCACTACTTAGGCCCACCCTCTTCTGTTGCTTCAGCTGTTGAACATGGAGGACTCTCTGCAGTCACTCCTGGAGATCCAGGCACCTAAAATTTGAACCCAGAAAACATATAATCTGATACATACACCATAATTTATACATTATTTTTAGGCTCAAATGTGCCCCTAATTTCTAAATAACTAACTCTCAATGAAGTTTGGCTACAATCTATAAATGAGTTTTTAAAAACTACTTGCCTTAACCAATTTTCTATATCTATGCATGGAAATTTTTGACTCTCTTTTTACTTTCACAGTGCCTAATAAAATGATATGCACCAATAATACTGTTGACTGGCAGATTTTTTTTTCAGTTACAGTTTACACTTAATATTATTTTGTTTTAGTTTCAGGTATGCAACAAAAGGTTAGACAACCATATACTTTACAAAGTGTTCCCCTGATATTTCAAGTACCCTCCTGGCACCATACATAGTTATTACAATATTATTGACTATATTACCTAAGCTGTACTTTACATCCCTGAACTATTTTGTAACTACCAATTTGTACTTCTTAATTCCTTCACCTTTTGCACCCAACCCCCAACCACCCTCTTTTCTGGCAACTATCAGTCTGTTCTCTGTATCTATGAGTCTGTTTCTATTTTGTTCATTTATAGTGTTCTTTAGATTCTACACATAAGTGAAATCATATTGTACTTGTCTTTGACTGACTCATTTCACTGAGCATAATACCTTCTAGGTCGAAACATGCTGTTGCAAATGATAAGAGTTTGTTCTTTTTTTTAGCCGAGTAATATTTCATTGTATATATTACCACATCTTCTTTATCCACTCATCTATTGATGGGCACTTGGGTTGCTTTCATAGCTCGGCTATTGTAAATAATGCTGCAATGAACATAGGAGCATATATGTTCTTTTGAATTAATGTTTTTGGGTTTCTTCAGATATATTCACAGAAGTGGAATCGCTGGGTCATAAGGCAGTTCCATTTTTAAGTTTTTGAGAAACCTCCATACTGTTTTCCACAGTGCCTATACCAATCTGCATTCCCACCAACAGTTCATGAGGGTTCCCTTTTCTCCACACCCTCACCAGCACTTGTTTGTTGATTTATTGATGATGGCTACTCTGACAGGTGTGAAGTGATATCTTATTGTGGTTTTAATATATATATCTCTGATGATTAGTGACATTGAGCATCTTTTCATATGTCTCTTGGCTCTCTGTATGTTCTCTTCGGAGAAGTGTCTATTCAGGTCCTCTGGCAAATTCTTATTAAAGAATATGACAGAGAAAATAGGAAGGTTACCTTTCCCCATCCTGTGCATCTAGGTCAGGACATGAACAAGCTTTGGCCAACTACATATGTGTGGTGATATATCTCACTTTCTGATCTGACCCCTAAAACTTTCTATATCGTCCTTAACACTTTGCTAGTCAGCTGGCCAAATGGATGGCATCCTTTGAAGAAATCTGGGGAAAATGGGCACAAATACAAAGCTCATGCTGTGTGTTGTGCCATGAGTAATAAAGCCCTCAGCCTCTGACTCAGGAGTCTCATCTTCTGCCAGCATCCTTGACACTGTGGTGGGCTAACTTGTTAGCCTGAAAGCAGGGTAAAATCTCAGACCCTTGACAGTCCTTGACAGTCCTTGATGTAAAAGTCCACTCAGAGTGGAGGAGAGAAAAGCCCACACCTTACTTACTGTGTAGGGGAGTGTAGAAAACAGAAATGAAGAGGAAATACAGAAATAAGATCAAATAAATATGCCCCCTCCTTTCCCTCTCAGGGTGGAATGCCCAGGCAGTCAGCTAAATGGAGACCCAGTAGAAATATCCAGATGGGTAAGGGGGGGAAATCCCACAAATGTCAACTGGGAGTCAGGAGAAGCTACTGGTATGCTTTCCCAGGGTAGGGGATGCTGTGGTGTGGCCCCCAGTTCCTCCCTCCTTTAAGACTAAAGCACTTATCTCCCCAGCTGATGGGTGTGTTGATGTCTGGCAGTTCACAGCTAAATATTTCTCAGAGAACTGCTCTCAACTAAAGAGACCCTCATTGTTCAAGAGAATTCCCCCTTAAGGGGTGGGAAGTGGAGCAACTCTCATTCAGTGACCAGTCGATAGACGGTTCTACATGCCCAACGCCATTGCCTCAATTCAGGATGATTTTATAATTCATTCCAGCTTCAGAGCTTCTCCAAAGGACTTGCTGAGCCTTTGCTGCATTTCATCACAGTTCAATCCTGCTTTCATCATTCCCCCAAAGGTGTAGATTCTGGGAGCTCTTCTCAATAAACTTTTGTATGCAAATCTCCCTCTTAGGATAGGTCTCCTGGCAATCTTATCTGCAACACCCAACCAGAGCTTGGAAGACTTTATGCCCCTAGATGGAGTGCCACATACAGCCTCACCCAACATGATGCAAAAGCAGTAATGCTGCATTGGTGAAGGACAGATGAGCCTGAAGCAGCAGTCCTGTCCTCCTACAGCCTGCACAGGGGACACAAGGGGCCTAGAGGGTCCCACTTGCCTTGATAAAGGAGCACAAAGCTCCGAGAGAGCTGAAGGACCAGCAAAAGCCAGGAGTTGAGATTGTGTGGTCTCAATTATGTGGAGATTTCACCTCTAGAAATATATACCTGGGATCAGGGTCTATGCCAGCATGGTGTCCAAATGACCACACAGGCATTTCAATGGACACTAGCCTAGGAAGAAAACCAAAATTGCTACTCCACAGCAGAGGCCAGCTAAAATCCAGAAGCCCCGTATCTTGTGGACCCGTAAGCCTCATCCCCAAATACACCCAGATACTATTTTGGAAAAGTATAGAGGAGGGGAAGTCAATGTAAAATCTAAGAATCTGAGTCATTCAGAAGAGAATATTTAAACCAGAAGATATGGTACACTGGCAAATTTAAAACTTATGTCTCATTCCTTCCTCCCCACTTCTGCTATCAGAAGGTATAGGAAACTTTAAGGCTACATTTCATTTGGCACACCGTATTAGTAAATTTGCAATCATTGGTAAATACAGGTCCATGGCAATTCCATAAGAAAAATTCTAGTTTTTAAACCCTAATATCTGTGAATAAGAGTTTAGCCACAAAGGCCTAAAACCTACATGGGTAGTTTGAAAGTTTTCTGATCCAATAATATAAATTTTAAATTGGCCAGACTGTCAACTCCTTGAGAATGGCAACTGAGCTTTACTTATCTTTGAATCCCTACAATAATCAGCATAGCATATAATGAATAAATATTTGAATACAGCTCTGACCAGTGTGGCTCAGTTGGTTGGAGAATCATACCATATATGGAAGGGCAGTGGATTCAGTTCCCAGTCAGGGCACATACCCAGGTTGCAGGTTTGATCCCTGGTCAGGGTGTATGGGGGCAATTGATTGATGTTTCTCTCTCACATTAATGTTTCTCTCTTTCCCTCTTCCTCTCCCTTCCTCTCTCTCTAAAAAGATCAATAAAAACCTATCCTCTCCTTGGGTAAGGAATATATATATATATATATATATATATATATATATATATATATATATATATTCAATTTACTATCAGTCTATTATGATCATTTTGAAACTTACGGCTACACCCTGTGTTTTTAAGTCTTTTAATTTTAAAACCTTTTGATAACATGAAAATATTCTCACAGTGTCATTTATTTAGCTCCTATTTTAAAATACCTTATCAGAATTAGCCCAAGACTGGAAGTAAGAAAAGAGAGCAAAGTTCTGGGAAAGAAAAAATAGGACTGGAGAAAAAAAAATTGAGAAGCTAAACAAATTGCTTCACAATTTTGTCTTGGGCCAGGCCTGAAAAAAGGCAAGCAAGAATAATAGTTTTACTCCTGAAAGGTAGTTTATACTAGAACAGCTAAAAGTAGTAAAAATAGTATGATTGAGAACTAGCAAAAGAAAAACAGTATCTCTCCAATATTTCTGTCCCTTTCAAATATTATCTACTCTTTTGAGTTAAAGCAATTGTGGTAAACAGAATAATGACCCCCACTAGAAGGAGGCCCATGTCCTAAACCCCATACCTGTGAACATGTTACCTTGCATGCCAAAAGGGACTTAGCAGCTGTGATTAAGTTAACGATCTTGACCTGGGGGCTATCCTGGATTATCCAGGGTGGGCCCCATGTAATCATGAGGGACCTTAAATGTGGGAGAGGCAGGAGTGTCAAAGGGATTCGATGTGAGAAAGACTGACAGGCCACTGCTGGTTTTCAAGATGAACAGTGATGAAGGAGACCCCTAGAAACTGAAAAAGGCAAGAAAACAGCATGTCCCCACAGCCTCCAGAAAAGAACACACCCCTACCAACAGTTTGATTTTAGTCTATGAAAACCATTTCGGACTTCTTACCTCCAGATCTGTGAGATAATAGATTTCTGTAGTTTTAAGCCACTAAATTTGAGGTAATTTGTTTCAAAAGCAATAGGAAACTAATACAGTGTTCACTGGAGGTTTCTTTTTGAACATAATCTTAGGGGAGGGAAACAAGGCAGAAAATATCAGTATATTTGTTTAGTCACCAGAAGAGGTGTTCGAAATAGGTTTCCAGAGGGACACATTGTCACTTGCTGCTCCATCGGGAAGCATTACAACATGCAGTCTCTCCAGAAGACAAATACGACAGAAGCCAGGGTGGGGTTCCACAGGGGAGACAGAGGCACAGAGTGGAGAAGTTTCCTAGCTTTCTTTGTTTCTCTTTCCCTGAGAGACTTTTAAAATGTGAATGGTGAAAAGGGAACACTGCAGTAAATATTTGAGCTGGTGGGATAATAATAAAAATCAATCATCTCAAAACAACTCCATCTCGGGATGACTTTGGTAATTTAGGAAATAATGGCCTGTCCTAAATATGGTTTCTTGACATTTGGAAAACACATTCAATCTTACATCTCATAAGAAAAAAAGAGGCAGGTGACACCTAATTATTTATTGACAAAATATTCTATAAATATTACATTTGAGGCTAAATTAGAAACAATCAGAAAATAATGAATGCATCGGGGAGATTTTGAGATTTCATTCCTTCTATATGTCATCTGGCTCAAATAAA